TGGTGGCACATGCCTGTAATCCCAGTGATGGGGAGGTTGAAAACAGGAGGATCATTAGAGTCCAAGCTGAGCTGAGTAGTGAGACTCTGTTAACAAATACATTAAACAAACAAACAAACAAACACCCTCAAAAGCTAGATAAGAGTACAGATTGTGTCTTTATTTTTTTAATTAAAAAGGGAGATTTTAAGAAGACAGTATCATTAAAATGACAGTATTCCCTAAGTTGATCTACAAGCTCAGTGCTGACTTTAACAAATCCCAGTTTTCTTGTTTCTATAGAAACAAACTGATCTCGAAATTCATACAGGAATGCAAAGGACTCAAAACAAACAAAACAATTTTGAAAAAGCAGTTAAAGCATATATACTTCTTTTCTCAAAACTTACTAAAAGCTGCAATACTCAAGACTGTATAGTATTGGAATAAGGCTATCCATCCATAACAAGAGATCTGACCATACATTTATGGTTAACTTAAAACAATGGTGTCAACAAATACAAGAATAATCACAGGTCTAGGGATGACAGTGACCTCATTCTGGTCAATGAACGTACAAGGTTTTTTTTTTTTTGGGGGGGGGGGGGGGGGAAGAGTTTCCTTTCAGGAAGAGCTCAGTGTTAAGAGAACCTCTCTGTTCTCTGCTTGTGCTTTGAGGAGTTTCACAACAGAAAGATGCTCATATCTGCTCAGTCTTTCTTCTTTTGTTTGAGACAGGGTTTCACTCTGCAGTTCAGGTTGCACCTGAACTCACTTTGTAGCCCAGGCTGGCCTCAAACTCACAGTAGGCCTCATACCTCAGCCTCCTGAGTGCTGGGATTACAGATGTGTGCCACCACATCTGGCTTATCTACTGCAGTCTTGGCAAAAAAGCCCAAATCACACAGATCCAATCAGAGTCTGACAATTTCAGTGTATAACTTAGTATAATTTATTCCATGCTTCTTGTTATGTGAAGAGAAAATAAAATCCCTATTAATTTTGTTAATCTGCTATTGTGGGTTTCTTGCAACTACAAATGCTTAAACTTGATTTTATTTTCTAATTTTTCCTTGAATATTTTCTATCTTCATTTTTATTCTCCATTTGTTTTTGTTTTGAGTTTTTTTTTTTTTTTTGGTAGTACCGGGGATTGAATTTATGACCTTGTGTTTGCCAGGCAAGCGCTTTTTCTACTAAGCTATCTCCCTGGCCCCTTGTTTTGTTTTGAGATAGGGTGTTGAAATACAGTTCAGGCCAGCCTTGTGCTCACTTTTGTAGCCATAAGGCTGGTCTTGAACTCGTGTCCAGGGTTCCAGGGCTGGTGTGGCATGTGGGGCTGGGAACTGAACTCAGAACCTTGTGCTTGCCAGGTAGATGCTTATGCCTCTGAACTATCTCCCCAGCCCCTTATTCTGCATTTTGAAATATTTATCTTTCAACATTTGTTTACCTACCTACATATACATACCTACACACTTATATGGACATGTACATACATGGACAGTTTTTTTCTGCTATATTATTTTTAGTTTCCAAGAGCTTCCTTCTTTTTTATTCAAAGTAGGAAGAATTTATTGCAAGATAGTCTCCATCTTAGGATGGACAGAAGGGGGTCTGAAAAGTGGGTTTTCCCTCAAAGAGCTTCTTTTTAGTTGTTTCTCTTGCTTTTTCAGAACTATCAATTAAGAGTGGATTAATCTTACCCATGATGCTACATACAATTATTTTCAAATTTTGTTCTGTACAATGTTTCTGAGCTTCTGTGCCCATTTTGCTTTCTTGTTCCTATTAGAAGCTTTTCTCAAATAGTTCTTATTTATTCTTATTTAAGAGTTTAACTCTTAAAATGCCAACTTTAACAGTAGCAACCTACAGATTCAATGCAGACCCTATTTCCTGATATATTTATAGAAATAAAAAAATCCTTTCTTATTTCATATGAAGTCTCAAGGGGCCTTGCATCGGGCAGCTGTCCTGTTGCTGGACCAAACACCTGACACCCACAGCTTAACGAAGGAGGGAGAGGTTCGATTAGGCATGCAGTTCCAGAGGTTCTGGTCCATGACTGGCCAGTTAGGTACTTATTTTCTTAACCTCTTTCTGTTTCTTTACCTATAAAACAGTGGTAACAAAAATTCCTACAACCTAGCATCTAGCTTAAAGTAACTGTAAAGATTAAATACTAAATGCCTTTTCACAAGTACCAAGGCACAGAGGAAGCTCCCAGGCTTGCTGTTAGTGATTTGTATGCAAATAGTAAGAAGTAGGCAGAGTGTGTACGAAGAATGCAGTGAGTCACCACCGCCCCAGTGAGACAAAGTGCCTGGTGTAGACGCGTCCTCTCTGAGTGCAGACGGGCCAAAGACAGAAAGCACTGACAAACAAACTGCTACTTACACTGTCTAATTCTAATGAACAAGGAATTACCAGTTTCTCATTATTTCTTTGCTTGGCCTCTTCAGCTATTCAAGAGAAAGAAAGCATGGAATAATAAAAAGCACACTAACTAGTTAGTATCCAAAAATAAGAATTCTAGTTCTAGCACTGATACTAACTAGTAGTGTGATATGCGATTAGTCACATATGAAGAGAAAAAAGAATAGTGTACTAAGCGGCTACTTCCACACTTCCAGGATTCCCTTTTCTTCTTTTTGAGACAGGGGTTTACTCTACAGTTCAGGCTGGACTTGAACTCACTATGTAACCCAGTTTGGCTTCAAACCTGCAGCAATTCTGAGTGCTGGGATTATAGGCCTGTGCTACCACGCCCACTCAGGATTCATTTTAGAAAGGCAAACTTGCTTTCTCATCAGCTAGTGAAGATCTGTCTTGAGAGGGCCGGCCAAATAGCTCAGCAGATCAAAGCACCGGCAAGCAGGTGCAGGGACTGGGAGTGGGGGTGGAGGCTTGGGGTGGGGTGGGGTTTGATCCCCGGGCCAGCCATGCTGGCCCTGCCCCCAGGACAAGCTGCTGATATGGCAATTGAGATTGCGCGTGGTGGCACGTGCCTGTAATCCCAGCTCTTGGGAGTCTGTAAACTGGAGAATGAGTCCCATCTAGTAGTGAGACCCTGAACACCCTGTAGAGCCTTTCCTAAAAATACCAAAAAAAAAAAAAAAAAAAAAAAAAAAAAAAAAGGAAAGGGATTAAGAAATCAGAATTTAATCAGGAATCTTTTAACCTGTGCTTTAAAAACTCTAGCAATGGGGGACGGGGAGATGGCTCAGTAGAATAAGCGCTTCCCTGGCAAGTGCAAGGGCCTGAGTTCAATCCCCGGTTCTGCAAAAAAAAAAAAAAACAAAAAAAACTCTAGCATTTAGAGCCAAATGGTAACCTGATCATTGATAACTGAAGGTTATTTCCACATATGACTAATGATGACAACTGAGCCATCTTTTATATGGAGAAGCAGTAAAGGGTAGTAGTGAGCAGTGTGGGCTGCAGAACCTGACTGCCTAGATTCCACAACAGCTTGCTATCTGTGGAACCTGACTGATGTCCAGAGGAAACTAAAACTGAGGCTTATCTGTGTGTATGATACTCAATTAAGAACAATGAATAGCTCTGTAAATTTACAGTTGTGTACCAGGCTTGACACAATCTTAAGGCACTATTACAAAAGGCAGGAGCTAGGGAGACAGCTCAGTGGTCTAAGTGCTTGCTTTGCAAGCACAAGGACCCGAGTTTGATCCCCAGTACTGCATTCTGTGCCGGCCACCAAAACTAGGCATGGTGGTGCATGCCTGTAATCCCAGTGCTGGGGAGGCTGAGATAGGAGGATCACTACAAGTCTGAACTGCATAGTGAGACCCTGTATTAAATAAATAAATAAATAAATAAGTAACAAAGGATACACAATGTTGGCTTATTTTAAGGTTATACATTTTATCTTTTATAAGGAACCAGAAATCAATTCTTTTTTAAATTTATGTATTTGATATAGGGTTTCATTATGTAAATTGGACTCATAGCGATCCTCCTGTTTCAGCCTCCCCAGCGCTAGGACTAAAAGCATGTGTCACCACACCAGTTGCAGTGGTCAGCTCATCAGGCCTGGTACAGGGCCAGCATGGCACGTGGTACTGGGATTGAACCCGGGTCCTTGGGCTTGCCAGGCAGGAGACCACTGAGCTATCTCCCTGGCCCCAGAAACCAATTCTGATGGAACTTGTTCTAAAAAAGATATTTCACAAAATTGCCCCATTTTGTTATTGTACCTCATTTTGCTGATCACCAATGTGTTCCCTCTTCAAAGTAGTATTTTAAAGTTTATAGAGAACTTCTCCCTTAGTTTTGATGTTTACCAAAATTACAAAAGTAATGCGCATGTATTATAACAAGTAAAACCAGACTAAGCTATACAGTAAAGGTAAAGACTAATTTTCTTTTAATATCTTCTCCTAATACTACTTACTAAAATAACCAGGATTATTGCACAAGTGCTTTTTATAAATTACGTTTTTGTTTCAAAATGACTATAGATATGATATTCAAAAACTTACCTCCAGGTATATGGATGGTGGATTATGCTCCCCACCAAACTTGTCCAATAGGGCCTCTATGTGTTCCTGTGTCAACTTAATCATTTGTTTGATATTCCATACCTAAAAAATATTTTAAAAGAATTTAAATAAAGATCACTTAGTATATGAATTAGAATTTTTAATTTTTAAATTTTATTTATTTATTTATTTATTTAGTGGAACTGGGGATTGAACTCAGGCCCTTGCATTTTTATTCTACTGAGCCATCTCCCCGGCCCCTAGAATTTTTTAATATTATACAAAAATGACTTTATGTTCCTATGTACTACATAGCCAAACATTAAGATATTGCATCATGAATTTGTACTATGAGAAATCAACTTTCAAGCCATTTCAAGTCTTAATAGGTCTGCCAAAAATCGACACAATCTGACACACACAGAGAGTGAGTACACAAGTGGCAAAGGGAAAACAGGCACACAAGGCATGGAGTTTCAACTGCAACAGAAAGAAGCAAACTAAGGTGGGACAGAGTATTCAGAAGCAAATTTACATCATACTAAAAATCACACATGGGAATGAAAGTTGACATGGTCAAGAAATTTAAGTTGTTCACAGGTATATAGCCCTTGTCAAGAATTAAGAAAATCATAACACAGGTAACTATCCAGTAGTCCTTAAAGTCTACATTGAACTCAGATCATTTAGTATAGTGGCTTTTCTCTTTTTTATTATTAAACATCTTCAACTTTTTTCCTACACTAGTATTGCAATTTATTCTCAACTATATTCAGAATAAACCAAGTGAATCTGTTTTCACCTCCCACAAATCCCAGGCTCCCCATCAAAAAGGTAAATGTTCTCTGTGGTTTATGATAAGCATCTTTTCATGTTCTCTTATATACATATATAAAATATATAAATATACATAATTATATATAAAATATTTAACACTTTCTCACTAAATAACAATGTCTCAGAATCCTTTCCATATCAATATTCCTTTTTAATGGTTATATAAATATTAAATTCATATTTTATGACAATAATTTCAGTGAGCTCCAAACTTCAGTGATTACTAGGTGACTTGGATAATTTTAAGAAATCAATGTCCAGATCCCCCACTTCTTTCTGTACTCTCCCTAACTCACCTGCTTGAGAACTAGTTCTTGCCTACCTTCCCCTTTTAAAATCATCATTTTCTACTTTTCAAAAGGCAAAGTTCCGATTTGATTTGAAACTGTCTCATTGCTATCTGTTTATCAATAAAACTGTAGAAAAAAAAAAAAGGCAAAGTTCTTATCCACTGGAAATATGACAGACACTCAGTTCTGAGATATATATAATCTCCAAAGTATCCAACAAAGAGATAAAAGAGAAATCTCTTAAATATAAATTACATTACCAATTTGGTTTGAAACTGTCTCATTGCTATTTGTTTCTCAATAAAATTATGGAAAAAAAACAATTTGTTATACAAGAACTTCACGTAGATCAATAAAAAGGATTATAGGTCCAGAAACAAAAACAAAAACAAAAAAAATTACAAGTCGTGCTTTATTGCAAGTTTCAGGCCTTATTCATTTATCTACTGGCCATTCAGAAGTCTAATGGTTATAAAGGCACATATATTAACGTGTTTAAAACATAATATGTTAATTTTTTTCTGGTAAGAAATAGGAGTTCCAATTTGGGTTGAAAATGAGAACTGACTTGCAAATTTCATTATACAGTTGATATTATCAATAAACTAAGTGATCTTAATTTGCAGTGTTAAAGTTTTACCAAAAAATATACTTAACAGAAATATAATACACAGTAGAAAGTATGGTTTTTAAACTATTTATAGTTACAATAAAAAGCCGTGATCTCACATATAGTGATGTGCACTTGTAGTCTCAGCTGAGGCAGGAGCTCAAGGGCACCTGGACAACATAGCAAGACATCATCAACTCAAGAGTAAAGGAAAAGGAAGGAAATAATAGTTTACAAAGAGAAAGGAGCAAAAGGGCCTCAAGACTTGGTCTATATGTCATAATAACGGACATCTGGATTGTTCTGTTCTCTCAACCTCAAACACTATTTCAGTGAATGGTTCTGAACTTTCTTTCTGGGAAAAAGTGCAAGTTCTACCCTTGATATCTAGGTATAAGATTCCTGGATTGAAACATACAAATATATACAAATATATATATATATATATCTGGGATTGAACTCAGTACACTGCACATGCTAAAGAAGTACTCTACTCCTGAGCCATACTTCTAATTAAAATTTCAATGAATATGTCAAATTATCTTCCAAAAGAAGAAATACACCAAAAGTCTACAGGATGAGTCTTCCCTTTTCTCAAAATACTTACCAACATTAAATGTTATCAAACTTCTCAACTTTTATTACCAATCTGAAAAGGAGATTAAGTTGTTTTAATTTTCATTTTCTATGTAACTCTTTTAATGTTACATTCATTTTTTAAAAATTCTGACACATTTATTCTATTGAGTTTTGTTTTTTTCAGGCTGATTTATAAATACGCTTTACTGTAGCTATTAGTTCTTAATTCTTCTATAAATATTAAAGTCTTTCCCTTTCTGTCTTCTCTGTCATATGGTCTTGCCAATCACAGTGTGGCTCACAGGCTAGCAGCATCACCATCTTTTCTTTTTTTGTACCGGGGACTGAACTCAGGACCTTGAGCATGATAGGCAGGTAATTAAGCCACTGAACTATCTCCCTAACCCAGCATCATGATCTTTTGTAAGCTTGTTAGGACCTCAGAAACTCCAGCCCCATCTCAGACCTACTGAACTGTAGCACAATAATTCACATGGACGTCAAAGCTTCAGAAGCAATGACAGATTGTTAAATTTTTTCTACAATCAAGATATAGCATTTCCTTTTAGGGTGCCTTTGCTAATTTCTCGTAGCTGCACAGATGTAGGATTTCTTCTACTCCCTTAAAAGTACTTATTCCCTAGGTGGTATCATTCACTTTTGTGTCTTTATATGCCTATTATGAACTGATAAAGTCCAATATTTAAAATTCAGCTGCGTTCTTTTGACTCCACACTTTTTCCAAGTGCCTCGTGATCATCTCTTCTAGGATAACAGGCATCTTAAATTTAACATGTCCAACAAAAAATCTTCTAGTTTTCTCCCCAGCCCACCTCCCAAGAATCTTATGTTTAGTCTTTTCATGTCACAAAATGGCAAACTCTATATATCTGAGTTGCTAAAACCAAGACTTAGCAGCATTCTTAATTCTTTTTCTTACTGACTTTCAACCTATCTCTATATCCAAAGGTATGCTGACGTATTCACCAGCATATTGACATATTCTTAGCACTGGTGTAGGATAGCCTCACTTCTTAATTTATCCCAGCAGTCTCTGAAGTGATATCTCCTGTTTCTTGCCTAGCATGACCACTATTTTTTTTCATTTTTAAAATATATTTTTAGGGGCTCGTGAGATGGCTCAGTGGTCTAAAGCACCTACTTAGAACAAGCTTAGCAAAGCACAGGGACCGCGGTTCAATCCCCCAGCACCACATGCCTGCCAGCCCCGCCCCCTGGTGGGCTGAGCTGGCCACACACACACACACACACACACACACAAATAAATAAAATTTAAAAAAAATATATATATATATATATTTAGTTGACATAGTAATTTTACACCTTTATGGGGTACAGTGTGACATTTCAATACATATGAATACAAGTGCAATATTACATCAGTAATCAGCATACCTATCATCTCAGAAAGGCTATCATTTTTTTGTGTTAATAATGTTCAAAATCCTATTACTTGGGCTATAGCTCAGTGGTACAAGTGCCTGCCTGACAAGAGCAAGATCCTGAGTTCGATTCCTGGTACAAAAAAAAAAAAAAAATCCTATTAGCTCTTTTGAAGTGTGCAATCAATTGTTGACAGCCAGTAATCCTATTCTGCTACAGAACCTTAAAAGTTATTTCATTCATCCAATTATACCTGTACCCACTAACTGTTCTATCTCTATTTGTCCTTCTTCCTCAGATCTAGTAAATTCTATTCTTTACTCATCTGAGAGGAACTTCAGATTGTACATATACCACAAGAGAGAACATGCAGTGCCTGATTTAGTTCATCTAACATACAGCCTCTGGTTCCATCCATGTTGCTGAAATAATAGAAATGCTTTCGTTTTCTGTCTATGTCCACTTGTGTATATATACCTAAACTATAATTGTACAGCCAGGTGTGGTGGTGCACATTCATAATCCCAACTATCTGGGAAATCTGAAGCAGGAAGATTTGCAAGGTCAGGACCAGCTTGTGCAACTTAGCAACTTAGACCCTGTCTCAAAAATAGTATAACAGATTTTTTAAAAAGGGCTACGGATGTAGCTCAGTGTGCGGGCCCTGAGTTCAATCTTTAGTACTTGAATAAAACAAAACCAAAAATCTATAACCATAGATCACATGTCAGTCTTTTACTGCAAACAAATTCCAAGTAAAAATCCTTACTGATCCCAGTGGATCACAAGTAAAAATCACCTAGGTCCCTACAGACCTTCAGAAGGCATTATATAATTTAGCCCTCTGCTATGTGCTTATCCTCATCCTTTACTGTTCCTCCTCAGGGCCCTCTCTCCAACCACTCTTGACCATACTGAATGTTCCAAGTATACTCTTAGGGCAGGATCTTCGTATTTACTGCTCCTTTTGCATGCAATGCTCTTCCTCTAAGATTTGCTACCCTACCTAGAAACCTAAGGTTTCTATTTGTGACCCTACCAAGACCATTCATCTTTATGCTCATATCACCTTATTAATGAAATATTCTCTGACCATTTATTTAGATTGATACCAACTGTCTTTATCCCTTCGAATCCCTACCAGCACACAGAAGCCACTTCTGGTCTCCTTCCCTAACTTTCTTTATTCTGCAACACATGTGACAACCATGTTACATATATTTTACTTGTGTACATTAATAGCATTCAACCTTTCCAATCCCCAAAAGAATGACATTTGAAGAATACAGATTTTTTTCTTTAAAGACAGAGTCTCACTATGTAGTTTGGGCTGGCCTTGAACTTATAGCCCAGGCTGGCCTCAAACTTAAGGTGATTTTGCC